AATACTCAAGTGCCCTTCCTCTCAACTCTTCATTTTCTCCTGCCACTATTATCATTGGATATTGTGCCTCTCTGAAACAACCCCAGAAGTACTCCCGTAGGCTGCTAGCCTGTCTCCCCAACTCAAGAAGGTTTAAACAATCCATTCAAGCTCTATTCAGGCCTTTTTCTGAGGGCATCATTTATCAGTTTCACCATCAAGCTTTAGCAAGCCCCACAAGAAAGCAGGTCAGCATATTCCCAAGAGCTATTTTCCCGACCAGCCTTCCTAACACTTCCCTACTTCAGCTGCAAATTTGTCCCTTTTCACTTTCCATAATCCTCCTCCTCCATTGACCTACGTCAGGTGTCATCAGGCCAGCACTCACCTGTGCAGGTGAATCTGATAATGATAACAGTGGCAGGGGGACATGGAGTGCTGGGAGGAAAGGCACTTGAGTATTGCCTCCAGGTAGAAGTGATAGAGTTGCCTTTAGGTACAACAGAGAAGTAAAAATGAGCAGATTTTCCCCTTTTCTACTTAGCACAAACACCTGTTCTTAAAATGGGTTCTGCCTCAAAACAAGGTTGGCTGGCCCTTTGAAGCAGATTGCCTTCTTAATGACAATTTGTGTAATTTAGAGTAAAGTGCACTGTGTGCAACTACTCATGTAGTGTTCTATGACACAACAATTGCATCTATGACCTAACGTTCGGGATGAATTTTAATAACCAAATTTAATGAAAAGGGGTTGATTAATATTGTCTTTTTATATTGTTTATCATAATTTCCCAAGTCACTCTGGATATATTTCTACTGTGTAATCAAGGACGAATGAATTATGAAGCAGTGCTATGCATCCTAAACAGGGATAGCTGCTTCATTCTCTAGTGTCATGTTCATTATTATTGGAAAGCAGCAGTTTGACCAGTCAGCTGGTTGGTGAAACTGTCACATAATATGTAGCTCCCTTTCTTTCCTCTCACTTCCCCTGATTTCTCCTGCATCTTCCTTTTGCTATGATTCCCTCTCAGGTTTTTTTTTCTTCCTCCTCCCATCTTTTACTTTTTCCTCCTGCTCTATGACAGCTTTGTCCTGATTTGGTGAGATTGTAATAGAGGTATTTGGCTGGTTTTTCTTGTTTGAACAAGGCTGTTGCTTAAGGGTATACTTGGCCCTGAATTCTCAAACTATAAACAGGGCTTTTTAAAAAAGAAATCCACAGCCTGCTGGCATCCCAATAACATCTTCAGTATATTTTACTATTCATTCATTGTGTTCTTTTGAGTGGCACCAATGTACCAGAAAACACACACATTCAGGACATTCATTCCAAAGTCAGTAAAAAAAAATAGTAAAAAGATAAAAACATTGATAATTCATATACATGTATGCATACTTAAATGTGTGTGGAGGTGTGGGCATGAATGCATGTATGCATAAAAATATAGATCCTCACAGACTTATTCCCAGAAACACTTGCATGAGTAACCTGATTCACTTGATTCAGGCTGAGAAGTCATGCATACTTTTTATCTTTACAAGTGATTTAAGAAGCTGTGTTAAGTGAAACGTGTCATGGTGCCTTGTGATTCGCCCAAATAAAATATATTTTAGGCTGCTTTGTTATATTTTAAGATCTTTTCTTCTGTTTATTCCCAAATCTCCTTGGTAGCTACATTTGGCCTTTTCACTTCAGAAGACTTAGCCTGTTTTTCATTTGCATCATGCAGCTTAAAAATGTATTCCTTGTCCTATCTGTTTTCCAGGGGGTTTTTTCTGTGTGTGACCAGAACACATTTGTCCACACTGCCTGCTTATTGGTGCTCTGTTCATAAAGCTAGAATGATTCAACAAAAACCCAAAACAAACCCCAGAAATGGGTAGAAAATAAGACCGATTCACCAACGAAGTAAACAAACTGACATTTTAGTAAATACCTATGGAAAGAACGAATTTTATATGGAGATGAAGTCAATCCTTTATGTTCATATTTCTGTAGTTGACTACTACATCTGGCATAGATAGAACCACTACATCTAGGATAGAAGAAAACATGAACTAGCAGCCATGCCATTAAGTGCAGAATGGAAATAGTTTCCTAATTACCTGGCATATTCTCTGGAGTATTAGAAACCAAATCCTGGTAGTCTCAGTCCTTCTTTGTTCAGGGGCAAAACCTGCAGGATCCTTTGCCTTTGTGGAATGCTAATAATACAGCAAAATGTACTGATAATATTCTTAAGCTGGAAAGTAGAGAGGCTGTGCTGACAGACTCCAGAGTCCATTATGTGATATAGAACTAGATGTATATGGGCATTGAGTTTATGGGCTGTGTGTGCCCAAAACATCCCAGCCCAACGAGGTATACCAGTAGTAGTGGCCAAGCTGCATTTCTGGTCTAAACTTTGTATCTGCAAAGAGAGAGGGGAGCCTTGTATCCCTTTCATATTTTCACTTGGCCCTTTAAACCCGGGACAAAGGTTTCATCTTTAGGCAAAAAGAACTGCAGGGAATACAATCCATGGTCTGAAAATATTGTTTAAGATATTTGAGGAGTCTCCCTACAGAATTTTCCTGTCACACAGAGGACTCTTGCTGAATGTTATGGGATTTATCTTGCCTCTTGGCTCCAAAAGTCTTTGACAACACTTTGACATGTCACTGCATTGCTCTTGGCTTTAATGGAGGTGTATTGGTGCCTATCTCCTGTTCCAATGCCAGACAGGGAAAAGCAGGGAGGAATAATTGAAATAAAAAAGGGTAAAAAATGAGGGTCTGTTCTTATTTCCTTTCCCTCTCCCAAGCCAAATTGTGGAAAAATTAAGATATTCTGGTTTTGCATTTATCTTCAGGCTTGTTTTTAATTCGCTTACCGTACCAGTGGCCCACATGTGAAGAACTGTAATTAAATAAACACAGCAAGGTGTTGATCAGCTTTTTACAGACTTGCTTCAATTTTACTTGCCCGCAAAATATAAATGCCCCTCAGCAATCCTGCACTATGTATTATTATTGTGTTGGTAGAAGCGGAAATAAAAGGGAGGCAGGTCTGAAAAACTGGCTCTGAAAGATTCAAGTTCTGTTCTTTGTTATATCAGCACAAATCCACAGTAACTTCAGTGGCTTTCAGGAGACAAAGAATTTCAGTAGGTTTTCTCTGAACATGCACCACTGTTGCAGAAGAAGTGTGAGCCACTCTTGTTACCAAGATGCTGAGCTAATCCTGCTGTTTTATTTCAGAGGACCAGACAGTCATTAAGGATGCTTCCCGGGAAGAGTCTGAATCCATTCCAGAGTATACTGCTGAGGAAGAGAGAGAGGACAACAGGTTATGGAGAACAGTAGTGATTGGAGAACAGGAACAGAGGATTGATATGAAAGTTATCGAGCCTTACAAAAAGGTCATTTCACATGGAGGTAGGAACCCTGCCACCCCAAATATATTTTTTTAAGTAATGGGAAATAAAGCAAAAGCTTTAAAGTGAAAGCTGAATTTTATGTTTCTGGAAACAACATGTTAACTGAGAACCTCACATCACAGTCAAAAAACCAGTTGAGTCAAATCATTCATTGGTCTAGCAGGATTGGAGCACACCAGTTTTCTATAGACAACTGCGCACAAAAGAATGATATAGCAAGCATTCCCATCTAGCTGATTCCCTGGTGTGAATGATGAGCTAGCCATTGACAGCTAGGTCAACAGAATGCAGTCTTTCTTCTGCACAAGTCCAGAGCAGGTCATGAACTTAACCCTGGAGCGATAGCAAGATGCCTTAAGTGCTCTGCTATCACACCCTAACTCACATTACAGCACATATTGACATATCTTGGGGACCATATTCATGCCTGAGCTTCCCCCTCTGAAGACTCGGGTGCAGAGTCCCACATGAAGAAAGTACACTTGAAAGGAAAATGTGGTGGAAATAAAGCAGCTGCACACTCCTTTACACCAGAAGGCTTATAAGCTGCCACAAAGGACCCAAAGGAGAGTCATACTGCTAGAGAAGGGGAAGTGGCTGTAAGAAACTTTGGTTCAGTGAAGACCCTGAGCAGCCTTTGCCAGCTGTGCTTTTAGGGAATGCCTACATCACATTGGGATCAGAATAGGGAGCACCAGAGAAGCACACATACTGCTCAGGTGTTAAACCAGAAAATGGGTGTCATGCAGTTGCCCATGCTTTAGATGCATACCAATAAGCACACTTAAAACAGAGGGCTTATTGACATGTTCCCAGCACCAGTCTAAGGAAACTACGTTACATCTTTCATCGTCCAGGGAGCAGGCATGCAATGCTTCGCTGCATTGACCTTAATGCAGTTTAGGGGCAATGTAACATGGTCTCAGAAAGTCCCCATGTTAAAGACACTTCACTCTGGAAGTCCCAGAGGACAATACAGGAAAAACACTTACTCTTCCAGGGTAAATCATTATTGAGGTACAGGAAGATTTACTGGCACAAGGATAACTGTCTGCACCTTTATGTACCAGCTTGTGAATTTGGCCCACAGATGTTGAAGGTTCATTTAGAAACATAGGACAGTCATGGAGAACTTGCTGACCTACTGAGTACACCCTTCAGTAGTCTCCCTTGCTATGATAACTTAATTCTGGAAGAGGCAGCTGATGTTATTCTGACCTAACTTACATTGTTGCAAATCAGAAGCAAGTCCAGTGAAGAATAGTAAATTCATAGGATGTTAAACCAGTATAAACAAGGTAAGTCTGAGGCACCCTTTACATATTATTTGTATTGTGCAATTACCTTGTTAATTGAGCAATAAATTTAGACTGGTTACGCATGCAAATTAACTACCATGCCTTAAAAATGTCCAACCAGCTATAAAGTTGACGTTGAAAAGGTGTAGTAACTTTATAGCTGGTTTCTATCCAGTTTTAATTTGCACATGTAGGCAGTCCTGTGGCTAGAAGACAGCAGCTGCTGCAGCCATTGCAGTCTCCCAGCCACAGGGGAGTGGGGTGATCCAGGCAGCAGCTGGGAGATTGCAGTAGCTGAGATATCGTAGCAGCTGCTGTGGAGCATTGCATGCACCTCCATAGGTGACAGGTAGGGGGTGCATGGGGGTGTATGTGCCCTGCCTGATGGGGTTGATGCCCCCCCTGGCAGCCAATGTTAATACTGTCAGTAGGTCTGGCACCCCTACTGACGGGGCTGCTGCTGTCAGGGCCTTCTGCGGGTGCCCCCCCCCAGATTCAGGAGACACCAGTTACTCACGTGTACCCCTGCAACTGGGAGACCACAGCAGCACCCTGCAGCTGCAGGGACTGTGAGTTGGGGTCCGAGAGTCCCATACCTGAGGGGGCTCTTGGTCTCAGTTGTATGTGGTCCCCTCAGCTGGGAGCTCCATCAGCAAAGGGGTCTTCCAGCTATGGGAGCCTGCTTCTTGCTGATGCAGGAGGAGTCCAGGATTGGGGTCCTCCAAAACTACCAATAAGGTGCATTTGGATCCAATGTGTGACCCCACAATACACTTCCTGCTCACAGGTGTGGCATGGTAGGAGGTGTGATTGTGTGGGTCTCACATTAGATCCCATCGCGCCTTTACCTGCACGTGTAGAAGGGGCCTGAGCCTGGCTTAATGTCTGCTACAGCATGGCGGTGAGGGAAGTGAGTAATAGTTACTTTCAATATTTGAACATCTTGAGCAGCAGTACAGTGCTATACAGGCAGTCCTCGGACTTACGACACAATTGGTTCCTGAAAACCACGTCTTAAGTGGAAACGTTGTAACTCGGAACCAATTTTCTCATAAGAAACAATGTTATAAATGGGGGATTGGTTCCTGAACCAAGTCCTGATACCCTATTTTCACCAAAAATACCCTAGAATTTTGTACTCGATCATTTGTAGATGAGTAATGTAGCTACATTAATGTATTTATATTGTAAATAGCAATCATATTGATTTGGAAGAACTTCTTTGAGGCGACTTTGCTAGACTTTTTGAAGGGCTCTTGGTTGGATTTTTTGAAGGGTTCTTGGCTGGAGTCTTGGCTGCTAGCTTTTCTGGAGCCTTGTCTGCTTTCTTAAAGAAAGTGTCCAAGGAAGTTTGGACAGATGTTCTCCAGGGAGATGAGTGACACAGCGAACTTGTTCGCTGGCATGGCATGGCATCGCATCGAATCAAGCGTTGTAAGTCGAAACTGACGTCATAACGTTGAAACGGTGTCAATTTATAAACGTTATAAGTGCGAAACATTGTAAGTCAAGGACTGCCTGTAAATGCATTATTAACTGTATGTTAATCATAGTATATGATTTTAT